TCTTGCGAGTTCATCGTTTCACCAGGTGCTGCAATGTAGGATCGGGGGAACCATGTCTTTATACCTGCTCCAAGTGGAGGGAACGAAATCTGCGCGTGGATGCTTCGGTCCTAAACTTCCATCCCAAATTCCCTGCATCGCACTTTGCTCGACCATACTCTGACCTACAACTCAGGCGCGGTGGCGGGATGACCGAAGGCCGCTCGATATTAGAGCCCATAGGGTGTAGTGAAGCAGAGGGGAGTTAGTTTGACTAGATCCTAACAGAGCAGAGCGTGGACTATAGCCGAAAACATGACCAAGAAACCCATAATTCAAGGGATCTGGGCCAACTTCCCAGACATGTCTGAAAACAAGCCTGGGCCAAAATCTATTGTTATCGCTGGAGGGGCGAAAGTGCTGAAGAAACTATGCCAGCTTTCCAGCAAGTGGCTTCGGAAACGCTGGCCCATCCTTGCAGGAGGTTTCTTAACCAGATGCTCGACTGTAGAAACAAACTTGATGAGAGCAGTGCAGAGTAGCGAACCAGGTGGTAGAGTAGCCTGGGTGCGCGAAGGCAAAATCAACTATTTAGCCAGAGTTCTTACATGCTGTTCGCTGCTGCACGTGGGGTCTGCAAACTCCCAATCAGAATCAGCGCTCGCTGATATGCCGTACTACATTTTGATATACCAGGCTATGCCATGCGTTGTTCTACTAGACTATACTGTACTGCACTTTACTGTATTATTCAAACCCGCCGACCCTGTCGGCGTGTGGGAGAGGCTTTTCCGTCTTCCCCACAGCGTCGTCGCCTCTTCTGCTTTCCGAGGGCTCCCTACACAAGTCCACACAAAAATTAAACAACGTCGTCCTTCAGTCGAAGGGAAGCCACTTCCCTTGATCCCTTCCCCGCCGGGGGGGGTGGAGGTCCCCGGGGGGGTCCCGGGGCGACTCCCTGGGGGGGTCCCCTCTCGGATGCGCAGCCCCCCGCTCTCATGCTCCTGCGTCCAGGGGCTCCGTTGGTCCTCCGGGGCCGTCTGCGGGCCTCTTCAGCCTATCTTAAAGCTCCTTGGAGACCTTTCGCCATTCTTAAACTCTCTTGGCAGCCTCTGGCGGCACTCTTGAAAGCCTCTGCGGGCGCTTTTGGACCTCGCTTGACGCCGTCTTGGAACCCTCTCGGGCCACTTGAGGGCGCTATTTGCCTATCTTGGCACTCTCTGGAGCCGTTCCCGAACCCTGGAGGAGGCCTCTTGAGCTATCTTCGGACGACCTTGCAGGCATCTGGCCCCTTCTTCGAGCCATCTGAGGGCATTTTGGACTCCTCTACCTCCATTGTCTTCGTCGTCGCTGCCTACAGGGTCGGCGGCATCGGCCGTAAGCCCTTCGCAATATGCTGTACTATACTACACTACACTACACTACACTACACTATACTATACTATACTGTACTATACCATACCATAACACGTCAAACGCTGCTATGAAATATTATGCGACATTACCCTAATTTCTGCAATGACATGATGCGCGATGCCATTGGGCGTTTGCCGGTGACATGCAATGCAATGCACTGCAATGACATCGTATTGCACCTCACTGTGCTACGTTGCATGTGTGTGCTGCTGTCGAAAACAATGGATGGCGCCAACTTCATCGACAACCTTGCGTCCCGTCATGCCCGTCAATACTTTAAAACACTGGCAAAGGACTGCCCCCAAGCCCGCCCCACACCTCTCCAGTCTCCACCCAGCGGATAGTGAGACACACCAGACAACTCCAAGGCTCCCAGTACGGCCACACGATCCGAAACACTTCAAACAAACGCCCTACGGGCCCCTAGAACCTTCCAGGTGGTCCCTGGGATGCCAACAACATTTAAACAGACTCGTGGCAACAATTTGGCATCACCACCGTGGACGGCCCAATATGGACATCATGAAGCGGAATGCTTCCGAGCCGCATAAGTTTCGAGACCGCAGATATGGTCACAAACCTCAAGACCTGCAGATTGCCAAGACCACCCCAAGATGGCTCCAATATTGCCCCACACCAGCCCAGGACTGACCCAAGGCCAATGAATCCAAGATCCACCAGACAGCCCCAAGGCTCATATCCCACAAGCGCCCATCAGATCACCAAGAGGGCTGGAAAGGCGCCCAATACGTTCCAGCTTGTAGGACAGCCGAGAGGCCCACATGCATCCGCATCCGCAAACAGACATGTGTGCAACGCGGCCACGTTCCAACGCTGGAGACAAGCAAAGCACCCGCACAACGCTGCATCCAGGCAGCGCTCCAGCATTGCTCTATTGGTACCCTAAGCGCAGCGGCGGGTATGCGTGGCACCACAACTGGATAAGTATTGCATGGGCATATTTAAGCATGTAGGTTGTCATAATAACCCACAAACGAGCACATCCTGGAATGAGCACCACTCATGCTCCGCAATGCTGGCCGCAACCGACGCCTCCGGAATGACTTTCAAATATCGACTGAACGTGCCGAACGCAAACTCTGGCGAGATTCTGAGGAGAGGTACGATGTGCATCATGAGAGCCCGATGGGAACCCAATACCTTGCAATAAACACGTTGGAGTATTTTGCGCTAGCCACACATACAATGACAGAGCCATGCCTGTGCACCGTGAGCCAGCAGGTGACAGATCCACAACTAAGCTCATCACCTGTCTGGGACGCTAGACCATGACGCCAGCTCGAAAACTGTGCCTACAAGTCCTGGCTGAGCCAAGCACCGACCCTAAAATGGAGGGAGGGAGGGAGATGAAACCAGTACGTTCTTGCAAGGTCTCGCACAGCACACCAGCGCAGCCTATACTTAAAATAACAATTATCGCCGATGAGCTCGGCGGCAAGTAGCGTCGCCCCCATGTGGAGTGCACTTATGCCATGTCGGGCGTGTCGTATACGGCCCTCACAACTTGCGCGTTTCAGTGACAGGCAGCGGGGACAACTATGCGGATGGGGAGCTTATGAGGGGCATGAAGCGGGATGCAGCAAACTTCCGTCGGTCCGCCACCGTGTCGTAGGCACTGCGTGGACAGTCCCCATGAGGGTCCAGAGCCCCAAGTCTCGTGCGCTCTCGGGCACCCATGGGAATCCCCACTGAACTTCCCCAAAAGCCTCGGGAGCGTTACTCGGAATTCATACTTCAAACATGGCCGAAGATGGTTCTATGGCCCGTCCTGTGGCCACCGCCTTGGATGCCATAGAGATCAGCCCCCCGGCCAAACCAACATTGACAAACATACTTGTTGGTACGGTTTTCGCATGCTCGCTTCTTCGACATGAGGAGCGTCCAAGACGGCCCAAGACGCCCCGACAATCGTCATACGACGCCCCCCGAAGTCCCCGAGATGGCCTAATGGGCTTCAAAGGTGGCCCCAGCAAGGACCCAAGAGGGGTAGCACTTTCCGACAAGGTTGCCCGAGACTGTCAGCAGGCTCCCAGAAGGCCCCCAAAAGACCTCCAAGAGGCCCTCAAGATGCCTCCGAATAGGCCCCTCAAAGGGCCTCCCAGGAGCCCCTAAACAGCCCAGGCGGCCTCGTTTCCGCGACCCGTGCGCGGTTGCGGGGTGAGCCAAACGACACTAGATCCGCCGTCGCCTTTTGGCTTGCAAAGGGGTGCGTGGAATGCTGGACGTTCGACCACTTTTTCGCCATTCCAACAGTTACCACATGGTGTCTCGGCTCAGGAGGCTACCAAGAGTGGCAAAACCAGTGATTTTCAGGGAAGCGACTGTTTGTGTTATTTTCGCGCTCTCGCCAATCCGAGATCCCGACAACCGAAGACGGCCGAGAGGCCTCCAAGATATTTCCCTGACGGCCCCAGACCGCCCCAGAAGACCCCAAGGAAGCCCCAAGACGTCGGGGCTTGCTAAAGGTGCCCCTGGCCAAAGGTGTCCCCAGCCCTACGCTCCATTTTGGGGGCACTGGGCCCTCTGGGCCTCGTGCGGTGTGCTCTGGAAGGCGTGGAGGCCTCCCTGGAAATCCTGGGGGGCACCTTGGGCCAGACGCCCGAAGCGGGCCAAGATGGCTCTGGCCCCCAATGCTCGAGTAGGGGATCGACTACAGAATTGATGTACCCCACAATTGATTTGTTCGCCGAATCCACGAAAATAGTTAGAATAACCCGCATATCTACTAACATTCTACGTGCTTGTCTCATAAATTCGGCGCGAAAATCAATTTGGGGGTGCATCAATTCTGTAGTCGATCCCCTACTCAGAAAAGCGGCCCCGAAAAGACGGCCCCGGAGACCTCCCAGACGGCTCTGAAGCGTGCCAAGACGGCCCCGAGCCAGCCCACTGAGACCCCAGCACGGCCCCCGAAGGCCAGGCCCCAGAGGTTCCCAAGAGGCCCTCAAGAGGCCCCTGGAGGCCCTCAAGATGCCCTCAGAGGCCCCCCAAAGGACCCCAGGAAGCCCCCTCCTGTCTCTCTCACTCTTCCTCTCTCTCTCTCTCTCTTTCTCTCCCCTTGTGTTTGTGTTGTCTCTCTCTCTCTCTCTTTGCTTCGGGAAGCTCGCAATTGGGCAGTCTTGGGCAGACTTGCCACAGGATTGTCAAGCAGTCCAGTCCTTCGTCTTTGGGGCAAGCGGCAAGATGTTCAAAGCAGGTTGGCACCTCTGGAGGTGAGCACGAGCCGACGGGCGTTCCCGACCGATGAGAGTACATTTGTGCCTGCCTGTCGGGGTCAGCGGGGAAGGCCGAACCCGTTTCAGACGTTCCGGGTGGCTTCTCCCTCCCACACCTCCCAAACGCACACTCCTGATGAGGAAGAGAACGCATCTCAGACGCAACATCCTCTGGTCCTTCTTGTCTCCCTGATCTATGGCCCCTTTGAAGCCAAGGGGAGCGCCGTTTCACCCCCAGACAGCACCAGAAAGGTGAGACCGTGGCTGACGTGCTTCCCCAGAGAGGCACGCTCCCGCATCGAATTGGAGAAAAGGACTCAGCGACATGTCTCTCTCTCTCTCTCTCTCTTCCTCACTCTCTCTCTCTCTCCCCTCCCAAATGTCCTCCCAGCAAGTCCTCCTCAACGGCCGGGGTAACACACAGCACAAACGCGTGGCAACATTCCGACCAGATGGCAGGGGGCGGCAGTGGTTCGCCGAAGGCGCGATCTACATAGGAGGCTCAGCCGACACCGGCAATGGACTGGCCATGCTAAAGGATCATGGTAGAACCATTGGCGTGAGCTAGCACCGCGACGCTTACAAAACATGTCCTCTTGGTGCGCGGCTGTTGCATTCTCCCCTTTCTCATGCCCAGGTCGACTATTGTATATATATATATACACATATATTTACTTGAAGCTGTCAGAACTTCAGTCTTTGCCGTGGCAGCGGGCGAGGCTGGTCAGCCAGAATGGCACCGCCACTTTCGTGGGGCCTCGCCCAATGCACATGCACAGGCCATGCAGGGTGAGGGGAGGAGAACAGGCAAGACGGCCGTAGTGCTGATCTCTCTCGGCGTCTTGGGCGGAAGGGTGAGCGAGCGGCGACCACCTGGGCAGTTCGAACAGGGCACTCACCACCTGTGCTCGAGAAGCTTATCGCCCTACTGCATTGCGGTGTGCTGGACACAGATATGTTTGTGCACATCGAACGGTGAGCCCGCCCGTCACATTGTGATGTAGACGGCGCAACCCGAGGAGATTGTCGAATCGCTAAATGCACCTGGAGAATATATGGCAGCATGTGCTGCTTGTGGTGCTGAACTGCATCACGAGGATGTCTCTGCGAACTCCACCACCGCCAAGAACACATCGCTTGCTCTTGACATCATCAGAGTCCACGTGGAGGAAAGAACCCTCGATCTGAGCTGTCGCCGTGATCGGCGCGCCGACCCCTAAGTCTACAGTTTCATTGGGGAGGCCGTCCAGCGTCAGGTCCTGTGAGAAAGTGCCCGCTGGGCCCTTGCTGGTGATGCTGACACAGCCACCGCTGAAAGCGAAGGAGTGCGTGACCTTCCCCACGCCCCAGTCCATCTGAGCGCCCGCAACGCGCCCATACCAAGAAATACCCATATCCTCAGCAACGCCGTCCATGTCGCCCTCGACCTGCTCGAGCTGCCACTTGCCAGGGAAGGCCATCATGGGTGGCAGCGCGGCCATGGGCAGGGCGTCAAGCAGTGTCCCTGAGACGGGACCAGGCGCGGCTTGCGAGCCATCTATCGACGCCGACGTGTCCTTGCGGCGGTCATTGCGGCGGCCGATACAACAATCAATTGAATAGTTTTGGGCGCTTGTCACAGGGTCTACCGGCACCTCCTCGATCAATTCTTTCTCGATGGGTGGTTCGATGCCGCAGAGAAGAAGGAGGATCTCGGACTCGCAGGTGCCTGATGCCATTCAGGCATTGTGGCCCCAACGTGCTTGCGCCAAAACGGTTCTGGGCGAGCCATCGCGGAAAGCATCGAACCCCGATGCTCCGAGGTGCACTCGTGCAAGGGAACAATCGACAACGGTCTGCGATATGTGACCGGACAGCCATCGCTGGCGGCGCCCACGCAGGGGGCCAGGCGAAGGGGCGCCCCTCTGAGAATGGGGAAACCAAAAGGCACTGATGCCGCTACTCCCCGGACCTCTCCCGGAGTGCGTTCTGACCAGGATCTCGAGGAGAATCCAGCGGTGGCGACGAGGGCCTCCCAGGAGGCCCCAAAAAGAAAAAAAACTGCCGAAGAGTAACGGTATGGGAACCTTTTCCTCCTCTGACCTCTGAGGAGACAGTGGGCCTCTCCGCAGGGACCGGCCAGTGTTTGCAGGATTCCGCTCCCTCGAAGGCAGGACGTGGCCACCGAGAGGCAAGGGCTGTCCGCTTGCTCCGAAGGGCGCCGCCTCGGCCCTGCGCCCCTGGCCCAAGGCGCCCCCGGGATTTCCAGGGAGGCCCCCCCCGACGGCCTCCAGGGCACCCCCCTCACGGGGCCCACAGGGCCCGAGGGCACCCCAAACTTCGAATAGGAAATTGACTGCAGAATTCATGTACCCCCAACGTTGATCTCCTCGCCGCATCTGTGAACAAAAATGTACAATGTTCGTAGATCTGCAAACATCCGACGTATTTGTTTGTAGATTTCGTAGAGAACACCAAGTCTGTGGCACATCGATGCTGCAATCGATCCCCTACTCGAAAATTGAGCGAAGAGCTGGGGGCACCTTGGGCCAGGGGCACCTTTCGCAACCTCCGACCCCTTCGCTCGCCGCCCACAGGTGGTGCCGAAGAGGCACGGAGACCGAACGCTTGGCGCGAGGCAAAAAAGATGCCCCGGCGGGGACGTGCCCTGTGGACCCTGCGGCTGACCCCATCGCAGCAGCTTTTCGAATAGGGGATCGACTGCATCACTCATCTGCCCCAAAATTGTTTTACTTGTGTTGGCGAATCTGCGTGTATTTCGTACATCCGATGAAAAACACTTCTGAGTAAAACTCAACTCTGTAGTCGATATCCTGCTCGGAGCTTTTGCAATCCTAGCTGTCTTGGACAGCTTTTAGTTTGCCTCGGACGGCGACACCACTTGAATCCAGCAGTCTGCACCAGTTCGAGATGCAGACAGCAGCGGCACGAGAGGCACCTTGAGAAGGAGCAGCGCTGCCAGAACACCAGCTCCACCCCGCGGGAGCAAGGGAAGGCTGCGTGTCACAGCTCGGCGTCGCGGCACGAGGTGGCCATGCGTGGCCGAGGAACAAAAACCTGCACGCACTGGTGGACGGTGGGTCGGCGTGCGAGCTTATAGCTGGGAGGCAGGTGGGTTTTCGGACATTTTGCTGTGGCTCTGGCCCTTCTCGGGCCCCATGGAGGCCTTCGGCCCGCCCCCCCCCCCCTGAAGCCTCCCAGAAACCTGCGGAGGTAGGTGACCTGCTCGGTTGCTGCCCACCCCCCGGTCGGCGGGGAAAGGGGGGAAGAGGGGGGGAGGGCGGCGGAAGGTGGCGGATGGGAGCGGCCCTCCTTCCGCTCCACACCGGCCCTCGCTGACTCTCGCTGACACAGAAAGCGCAAGCCACAAGTCGTCAAAAACTTTCGGAGGTCCGTGCGGTTTTCTCGGATGGGCGCTGGACATCCCTCCCTTGCGCGCGCAGCGCAGCGCCCGGAGATACAGATCCTCTTCCTCCTCCTCATCCTCCTCCTCTTCCTCCTCCCCCTCCCCCTCCTCCTCCTCCTCCTCCTCCTCCTCCTCCTCCTCCTCCTCCTCCTCCTCCGCCTCATCTTCCTCCTCCCCCTCCACCTCCCCCTCCCCCTCCCTCTCCCTCTCCTCCTCCTCCTCCTCCTCCTCCTCCTCCTCCTCCTCCTCCTCCTCCTCCTCCTCCTCCTCCTCCTCCTCCTCCTCCTCCTCCCACTCCCCCTCCTCGGGTGCACGGGTGGCCGCGGGCGGAAGAGAACAAAAAGATAACTGCAGAATGCAAGCGCCCAGGAAGAGCGGCCGCCTAAGGAGAAGAAGGAAGGCCGAGAGGAGTGATGACAAGAGGGAAAGAGAATATTAGGCGGCCCCAGTGCCTGGCTCTGGACCCCGTGGCTGCGGCTCAAACCCCTGCCTCACGGCCTGTGGTCAGGTATAGAGGGCAGAAAACCTGCCCCGTGCCCCCGTCGCGAGGGCCCCCCCGTGTCGCACACCAGAACCCTCTTTGGTAAGGGAGGGGCCTCGGGGTTTAGCCGAGGTGATCCCTCCCCGTCGCCAGGGTTAGTCGCGCAACAGGTCGCCCCCTCAGGGGCGGTCAGACACGGCCAGCAGGAGAAAAGGAAGGGGCGAAAGAGGAGGACCACAGGCCGCTCTGCAAGGGGGCCGGTCGAGCCATCAGGGCCGTCACGCCCCAAGCCCCTGACCCCTGGGCGGGCAACTCCTGCCTTTGAGGGAGGGGTGGGTGTGAAAAGCGAATCAGTAACCCTGGGAGGTGGCTGGTGCTGGTCTTATCCCAACACCGCAGGGCTGAGATGGAACACCCTCGAAGTACCAGGGCCCCGGCAGCTGCTCAGTCCAACTCCGAGGCGGAGGAGGAGGGCTGACCTTTGGCCCTCCTTTCCTTCCGCCTCTGGACATGGTCATGAGCCCGGCGCGCCTCCTTCCAGGCATAGGCCGCCCTCTTCCTGAAATGGCGCTCGCGTCCCTTCAGAATGCGGACAGCCAGCTGGAGGGCCTTGATGCGCAGACGAATTCTCTGGAGCTTCGTCCGCTGCGGGCCGGCTGTCCATGAAACCCCTTGCGTAGAGGAAGGCTGCGCAGGAGCCCGCAGCAGCCTCTGCGGGGGCGGGTCCTGCGGCAGCGGCGGCTTCCAGAGAGGCCTTTGCCCCTCCCTGGCCCAGCGCCTTCGCCGCCCATGAGTGTGCCCCCCGCGGGCGCGCCTTGGGCGGCGGCGGCGGCGGGCGGCCCGCCGCCGCCATGGGGGCCTGCTATTGAAGCTCACCCCAAGGTGGGGGGAATGGGATGGGAGGCCCCGAAAGCTTGGGGATGGAGGCTTTAGCTCGCCTTGTTCTTCCCCATGGCTCACTGCAGCCGAGGGAAGACGGGCCGGGCGCTGGCGGCTGGCGCGCGCGGCGGAAACGAGACCCCAAGCTATGGATGGAGAGAGGCATGAAAATCCTACCTGCTCTACCCTTCCAAATCGAACATCCAGTTGGGGAGAATCATGAACAGGGACGGTTGCAACTGGACGTGGTCCAGACCCAAAAGGGACATTGGGGCGTCTCTGCGCCAAGGCATCTTTTGCCCTGACCCCGCTGTCTGCGTGGGGCCCCGCAAAAACTCGTTATGCCTGGTTGGATGAGGTGCTGGAGCAACGATGAAAATGGGCTCCGACAGTCCCCCCATTCGCTCTGCCCGCTGCACGCCCGTCTCACTTAAGCCACTGCTGCTCCGGGGGGCTTAAAAGGCAGGGCCCTTCTGACCCTGACATTCGTCCTGAGAACATTCCCTTCCTAAGCTTCCTAACTTCGCTGTTAATCTACACTGAGCAACCTTTGGGGCCCGTGATCTCCCCCGATCCTCGATGCGCGCTGCAGCCTCCGCAGTGATTGCAAAAGGCTACTGGGAACCCATTGTCCCACCAACCAACCTACAGAGGGTGGCGCAGTCGCCTGTGCTGCTTGACGACCTCCTCCATGGCTGGGGACATGGCCTGACATCCGAACCTCGTCTTGGGAGAAACGCTCCGAAGACAACTGAGACATCTGAATCTTTGCCCATCCCGGAAAGGCCGGCGTTCATCTCGGAACGGGCGACGGGCCGCGGGCCTAGGTTCACTGGATAGTTTGTCTAATTCCCCCCACATCTTCTCAGATTTTGGCCAGGGCCCCACAACCTTCCCAGCTCCTACTAAGACTTGCAGGAACAACTGGTCCGATGCATCATGCTGCTGAACTTCGTCAGGGAGGGGGTGGTGCAGTTAGGCTCCCTTGGCCGCAAAATAGCATGCTGCTCTGTTCCCTAAGATGTTCCTCTTGTCCTGATCTTGATCGGCTTCCGAATCAACGCGGCGCAATTCACTGCGTACTTGTTGGAGCTTGCTGCTGCTGCTGGATGCAATGCTGCCATGAATACCTCCCCGCGCTCTGGTTCTACTGCTGTCTGATTGCCAACGGATGGGAAGCCACTGCGCCTGGTCCTTTTGAAGGTATTGTCGTCGTTGAGTTCCACTGATGCAGCCCCTGCTCTAGCTAACTTATGGACTTCTGGGTCTAGACATGAAGAGTCCGTGAAGATGTCCGTGTTGGGCCCGAATTGGAAGGGCTCGCATGGTCCATTGGCACCCGCGCAGTGAGTGCCCCATTCTTCTAGTAGAGGTTCGAGCTGCACCTTGGGCGGCCACGGGTGCGAGTGGAAACTGGAGGACTCCGTAGCTCTCGAACCAACCTCCTCTCCAACGTACTCTTCCCTAAGAGACTGGCCATACTTGCAAATCCAGATGCGGTGAAACTGGGTACCCAATGCCAAGCAATAAGAGCATACCGATTGCACGTCGTAATGCCATCCTGAGAGGGCCCGACCAGGTGTTAGGGGGCCGCGAAAATCGTGTCTCAAGCAGGTGTGTCCCTCCGATGCTAGCCTCTTTTTTTGCGTAGCGAAGGCCACGGCGGATCTGGGCCCAGTCAACACCTCCTTCCACGCCCTCAGGAAAGGAGGGGGGAGGGGTGATGGTGCCTAGTTCCTTGCCGCTGTCCTGATGCGTCTCTTGATGTTTGAGGTCCTCTGCGAAGAGCTGGGCGACTGTCACCGGCGGTGCCTTGAGTATGTTCGAAATAGTTCCAAGCCTGGGTGTCTGAACGGTTGGATTCGGGAAGTGCTAGCCCGCTTTTTCGCAATCGAAGGAACGCGTCCGAAATCGGCCCCGCCGAGCGCCCCAGCCAAACACATGTTGGTGGACTCCTGGGGTGCTTTCTGATCGGGAAAAAAACGATCTGAGTTCC